ACTATATATAAACAACCACTATATACGTACGTATATATACTAATATACTCTCTCTACTATATATATATATATATATATATATAAATATTTGTGTCAGTTTCGGGTTGAAGAAATAAATAAATAACGACTTGGTTCGTTGAGTCGTCGGTCGAAATAACTCAAAACTTCACTTATTCCGAATAATTTCGAACTTGTTTAGCATAATTGCGAGTTATCTCTGTCATTTCACTGCGTGTACACTCGTGGAAAAACACGACACTGTTAAGTCAAGTACGTGTAAAAGTATACATCAATGTGGTGCGTTTAAAGACCATTTACGCACGCTTTACGTCATATCAAGAAGTGTTCATGTACGTAACGTTAATGGTTGGTTAAGCGCGTTAAACGCAGGTCTGTTTCACACGGGCAACAATTATTATTTTCTAAAGGTGTTAACAATACTCGGTTTCGGGCTATTTTATAACAACCTTTTATATCACTGTTAATATTTTAATACTCGACCCGGGTCATTTTACTTTAAGCGCGAAAATCTAGTATTATTTGGCAAAAATTAATATTTTAATACTCTGCCCGAGCCATTTTATTTTATGTGAAAAAAATAAAGTGTTATTTTATGTCCGTAGTAACCTATGCACGTATTATAGTCCCGGATCAGAACCCTTTTATTTGTCATTTCTGTCCAAAAATATTTTCGTTTGCTTTTATACTCTGTCCTAGGGTTTTACTAAAACATAACACCAGAAATTATATGTCCAATATTTATTGAAATGTCTTTCTTGAAACAATATGCATAAATTGATAAGCGAAGTGGCATTAGATCCAACGAAATATACAAGTACGTAATAAAAAAAGAAAACTTCGACTTTTGTAATTTATATCAGATAAATAAATATACGCCCCCTTTAGATCTAACTTGGTCAAACCTGTCGGTGATTTAATCAACTTATTCATCTGTTAGATTCTTTAAATGACACGTAAAGAAACTGTGTTCTTTATTTTCTCGAGCAGCTACAAAAGGGATTTCTACACACACGCATCCAACTCTTATTTCACTGAATATGAACGAAACGGCAGAGAAAAAAACGACGATAACTATGAACTTTTAGATTCACAGACAGGTACGCTATCCCACCATAGCCACGCCCAGTTCCAGACCCAGTAGAAAACAGGTCGTTATACAAAGAAAGGGTGATAATGGCTGGAGACGGCTTGAATGGGTAATGAAGAAAAACTTTAATACAACAGCAAATGTACAACGTACCTG